ACACTTTTGCGGAAACCCATCATGCGAGAATCGTCACATTTTCGGAAACCCATCATGCGAGAATCGTGTTTGCAAATGGGGGGGGCTGCGCCCCCCCCAACCCCCCCGCTTTCTCAAGCCGTGCAAGCTTGCCTCAAAGCATATGCCATATGCACACATTTTCGGAAACCCATCATGCGAGAATCGTGTTTGCAAATCCTAAACCCTAAGCCGTAGTTCCGGACTGAAGGGGCAATGATACGAGGAGCAACCTTGACCCCGCAAACCGTAGAGCCTAATAAGACCCAAATCGTCCACCATAAGCCGCAAATCCTGATAGAATGTTTGCGGCCTACGTGCGCAGTAAGCCCTAAACCGAAGCAAAGTTTCAGATTGAAGCATCCGAGGTTCCTCTTGAACCAGCCCCGGACGTTAACTAGCTTTTGAGTCCTGTCGGGGCCAACGATGGCCGCCCCGACGCTCCAAGCGCGAGTTGCAAAAGGACGAAGGGTTGGATGTAATGTGTTGTTGTAGCACGTTGAGATTTGGACCTGTTCCGGACACGCGGTGCCGCTGAGAGGCCATCGGAAGCTGAAAACCAGCAAAATTCACCAAAAAAACCAGAAAAATACACAGAAAAGAATTCCCACCAGAGGAGGACGACAGGCAGAACCAGGAGGGCATGTTCTGAAAACCACAAGAAAAGCAAGAAAAAGCAAGAAAACTCACAAAAAAAAACCAGAAAAATTGACAAACAAAATCCTCGCTCCCTCTGGATGGGGGGCTGCGCCAGCTTGCGCCAGCTGGGATGGGTGGTGTCAGGCATGGAACCGCCGGACTTCCACTTGCGGGACCATGAGCCAACACAAGCAGCCATTCGCCACATTGCATATACTGAAGGAGATATCCTATTTCCAAGGTCGGGAAGCGAAGTTGCGTGCCCCCCGCGCTCCATGCGGGGACGCCCTCTCGATGCCCGAGACGGCGCAAGGCAAAAACCAAAAAGGGGAGAATGCGAGACGCTGAAGCCGCTGAAGGGTTCTCACCCACCGAAACCAGCCAATGACCTTGAATTTCGGAGTGCTTGCCAGCAGTCGGTGCATCCTGATAGGCAAGCTGATGCTTGTGATGCTTTTGCCAATGCTCCGGCCCGACGTTGTTTTATTTTATTCCCCGCCGGGAGCCCCTTGGCTCGGAACCCAGTCGTCTTTCAAGAACGAGTACCTGCCTCGACGCGGGCGCATCCGTGCTCTTCTCGTAGCGGCTGTACTTGGTGCTCGAGCACCAATGCCTCTTGACCATTCTGTAAACACTGTAAATCCACGGGAGCTTGAGGCGTTTACTTCCACGGGGAGCTTTGAGCCGCCCCTCCCCTGCTCACACCGTACCTGCATGTACCTGCTCCTGCGCTGATTTGTGGGGACCCTGGCCGAGCCCTCACAAGCGCCGCTTGAGCCCGGGGCCTTGCAATTCTGCAGCAGTCTGTGATGTTTAGGGCACCTCGATGGCTCCCCCACAGCTCACACCCGAGCAGAAACCCGGCCCTCAAAAGGACGCAAGCGGCGCGACAAGGCACAAGTGATCACTTTCGTATCTTGGACTTGTGGGCTTCTGTTGCAATCACACGAGACGAATTGGGCACCACTTTCCGATCAAAGGGGCTTTGCCCGCCCAGTGACGTCAACGATGGCCGAGAATGGCCCGAAAAATGCCGGTGATGCTGACTGCCGGGGCTGCATTAGAAGTATCATCGCGGGGCCTATGTTGCACCTGAGCATGAACATCATGAGAGATCTTGTTCCTATGCATCGGCACCGTAGACACAGAGGGTCGCGACTGAAACATAGTGAAACTAATGTTAACAACCTTCCGGAGTTTCTTGGTTTGCTTCTTCAGAGTTCGGGCTCAAGATGGTTTAAACGCTCACCCCGAGTGGAGATGCCAGGAAACAGCGCAGCTTCGGCGACGAGCCAAGCTCTCCCCTCCCGCAAGCTGTCCTCCAAGAGGACCTTTCGTGACGAGTACGTGACGAAACATTTGCCTGGTGGAATACCCCCTTCCATGGGCTTGCAACTAGGAGCATGCCATGGAGGCAGCAGCAGAAGCCTTGGGTCGCCTGCTCAAAGGCTTCATGTGTGACGTGTGACACATGAGTCTGCTTGAGACCGTTGTTGCAGTGTGTCTACTGAGTCTACTCCCAGGCTCCGTCAGTAATGGCCGGTATGGATATGCCTGTGGCAATGGAGGCGAGCAATGCAGTGTGACCTCGTTTAGGCACAGAGAAGATAGAGAAGTCTGAGAACCCAACACCATCAGGCGAAAACCGCCCTCTGTTTCCGCCCACGCCAGAAGCTTATGATGGCAAAAGGGGCTTAGACTGTTTAGAACTATTTCAGCAATGTAGCCTAGCATCAGGTTTGTCAAGCGTCGCCTCTTCCCATGTCCCTGGCGATGTCTGGATGTTTCATGATGTTTCAAAAACATGTAGAACAGATGCATGCTCAGTTTCAATCCGTTCTTTCGGTCTCTTTTAATCCGGCTAGCCGCCTAGCCAAGGTGGGCAGACGTTTTCTACAAGGGGCAAATCTTCACTGGATCAGCCCTGGGTTTCGAGCGCTGCCTACTGATTTTACGGTCCTTAGCACATGGCCCGGAGCTTGGCAGCGCTTGTCGGGGCGTGGCAACGAATCTGAGGAACCATGCCGACACCCACTCCCGTACGGGAGCCAGGGCCCCAGCATCAAATAGTCATGCGATGAGTCATGCGCGGGAGAGGGAATTCTTCCGAGCTGCGTGTCAACGAGGAATGGCGGGTCCAGGCAGGGCTTTGTTTGTTGCAGACGCATGCAGACGCTGCAAAATCATTGTCAACAGCGTTCTGCTTTTCGAATGCCTTGAGGCGTGGCGATGCCCCACAAGTCGTCGAGAAATGGAGCCAATCGTTTGCGCAAAGCAGGCTAGCATGTGTGGTTTTCGAAGAGTGCGAAGAGCCCTGCGCAGTTTTGCCTCCAGTTCGCTCTTCATCCCACTACCGTAGCAACACTGTTTCGCTCTGAACCCTAAACACGTTTCAGCTTACGGGGCTAAGAGAGCTGGATCAGTTTGGAAGCAAAAACTCGCATGCTTGATAGGTCGCCGACTGGTGGCCCTACAACAGCCCACCGCCGCCGCCGAAATTGAAGTTCAAGCGCAGGATGTAGCTAAAAGTGAAGGGTTTCTGATATATCTGACCTATGGCATGCCAACTCGATTCTGTAAGACATCCGAGATATGGTGTTTGCGTTCTCAATGCCAATAACTCTTGAGCTGTGGACGCGCTGACTCTGGCAGATCCAGGCTGCCAGGCTAGTGTTTTATCGGCAGCTTAGAAAAAGCATCCAACTTGGCATGGCAGTCAGATGCGAGTGGCGCCCCAACATTCCGAACAGGTTTGGACATGGCAGCACATTTGGGACCAAGGCAACAACGAACTGGCAGGCACTGTCCTCGCAGGATGGCCTAAAACATATCAGACAAGCTGCCGTAAAACAGCCATACTCTAGTATACTTGAACTTGAACCCAGCGCTACTGCACTTGCAGGAGCTGACGACGTCTCACTTAATCCTAAGGCTGGTAGAGGTTATATACTTGAAATCAATCGAAACATGGCAACTGTGCATTCTCCCCTGACTCTGGAGGCCAGACACTGCAATATTCAAGTGACAATTGAAGCACTGCTTGCTTCCAAAACCTTCATCGACTTGCAGTAGAGGCCCTTGGACTTGGTGCTGGTGCAGAGGCAGAGGCAGGTTTCGAGCCACAGTTCTGTCCAGCCGTGGGCCTGATGTTCCTGACGTTCGGCCTACTGCGTCAGCATCAACCAAGAAAGCAAATGCTTGTGTAGCCACATTGAGGTCAAAGCCCTGCCCATCAAGCGAACACATCGCGTGTCTCACTAAGTCTTTTTAAATTTCAGCTGCTTGGAACTTAAGCTTTCTTTTGCTTTCCTGATGAAGCTTTGAATGCCTCTGAGGTGCGTACATTACCTGGCTTTCATTTGCTCTGTCTCGATGCAGGCAAAGAGGCGCCCGGTCACTCCAAACCCTGTGCACGGGACTCTTCAGTTTCTAGACTGGGCACGAAGTGCAAGTCTGCAGTGTCTTCCATTTTTCTCGGAGGCTGTGCTAGAGGTTGGGTCTTGAAGACATCTATGGGCATTTTTCCGTTGTCTGGGACAGCTTCATTCGAAGCACCGGGCGTCGGGGTCATCTCGTAAGTTTGTTCAGGAGACTTTTGTTGGAAACATTGGCGGTCATCTAAGGTCATCTTCTCTTGTCTGCAGCGTGTAAGGTCATCTTCTCTTATTATCGGTATGTTATGCGAAGTATGTGTGTTGAAGGCATCTGTCATCTTATCCTTTTCTCGTGTATTCTTGTTTGGAAACATGGGCGTTTAGTTTTTTTCGGAGAGTAAACCCGAACCCCACAGCCTAAAAACCGATATAAACCTGAATCATAGAAGCGTGAGTGCTGCAGGCATGTAAGGTCATCTTAGCTCTTTCTCAGCTTTTTCGAAGCACGGGGGTTGAAGGCGTCTAAGGTCATCTGCTATAGGCTAGTGTTGTCGCCGGTGTGGAAGGCATCAAAAGTCATCGTCTCTATTTCGTGTTGTTCTTTTTGAAGCACGGGTGTTGAATGCACTTAAGGTCATCTGCTTCTTTCTCAGGGAATGTGATTGTAGACCTGGATTTTTAAGGCATCTACAGTCATCGTCAATTTCACACAGGGTGTACTTGTTGAAGGCATCTAAGTGTTTCTTCTCTTTATCTCCGAAGACTTCCCCTCGCTGCACCCCATATACTGCATCTGCATGAGAAGTGCTTTTGAATTGCAGCCCACCATCGGCTTAATCAGCTGCAAGCTCGGTGAACCATGGATACCGCAGATGCATCGGTAACGGTCGTGCAGCTGCCCCCGGCCTTTGTCGGGGAGCAAGCTGTCTATGGCCCACATTATCGGGGCGGCTTGGCACCCCCACCCGAATGGTGGGCGAACTTTGCGCATCCGCTGGCACCGTGGCCTCCTGGGCCCCTCCAATGCACCCCAGCCATGCACCAGCAGTGCTGCTGGCCACCACCACCACCACCACCACCACCACCACTGCCACTGCAGCAGTTCACCCCACAACCTCCAATGCAGGGCCAGTTCTGCTGGCCACCGCCACCTCAACAATTCTTCGTGATGAATTGTTTCGCAGTCAGCCCAGGCTTGAGCTACCAGCCGGTCCCGTGGCAGCCGCCAATTTCACCACAGTTCCAAATTCCCTGCTTTCAGGCACCACCAGCCCCAGCACCAGTACCTGCCTTCATAAACCCCGCTCCACCTCCCGCACCAGTACCTGCCTACATGAACCCACCTCCGCCTCCCGCAGACGCGCCCAAGCTGCCCGGACCCATTCTCAACTCCCCAGCAATGGCGCCCCCCAAGCCTCCACGCCCCTCCTGGGCTGACATCTCGGAGGAGCTACCGGCAAGCGCCTCCCATCCGCAAGAGTCACAAGAAGGGGCATCGTCTTCCTCGGCCCCTCAAAGCCTCCCGCATTTGTTGGGCAACCGTCCCAAAGCATCCAAGTCCAAGAAAGGACGCAAACGCACGTAGAGGCTGGGACCTGCATGTGCGCGTTGGCAAGAGCAACCAGCTTAGTTGACAACAAATCCATGCAAAGCTATATCGGTGACCAGGTGGCTGGCACCAAGATGATGCCGTGCCTCGCGTGCCTGAGCTGCAACTTGTCACGCGGTGTCTTAGAAGCGGATTGAGTCCTCGAGCCCTTGTCCTCTCCCCTTTCGGGTACAGAGCTGTGAGGCACCAGACCGCACCAGCTCTCCGCAACCGCGAATGTGGCTGTTGGTGAGACGAACTGAAGCGAGGGCAAAGCTTCCCGCTAGCGGTGCTGCAGTGTCACCAAATGTCACCAACTAAGCCTTCCTAGAAGGAATGCTCTCGAGCACTACTCTACAATCATTATTCAAGGTGAGCTTGAGCTCTTCCGGAAAATTCTGCCAGCCTTTCAGGACTCCAGCTAGTTCTGAATCCCACAACCCGTAATTATACATAATGGATCCTAAAGTGTCCCTAAACCCCAAGCTCAGCTGTCATCGCTGTCTCCGGAAACTTCGTTCGAAGAATGGGCGTGGCAGGCATCTAAAGCAAGCTTGTTTAATAGGAAGCCTGCTTTTGAAACATAGGTGTTGACGGCAATTAAGATCATCGTTGTTGCCAATGAACTTTGTTAGAAGTATGGTTGTTATGTCTTGTGAGGCAGTCTTCTTATTTCCCGGCAACTTTATTGAACGCACGGGTGCAGGCATCTAAGGTGCCCTTTTCTTTTTCTCGGAGTTTGTACATCGATGTACACCGATCCTGTCGGCACGTATGCGTCTATGGCTTGTCACTTCCAGCTCGAGGCCAAAATATGCCGTCTGAGCGGGATGTCTTGTTCTTCTCCGGGCGCGGACACTCCAGGGTTGTTGGGCTAGATTGTCCACGGGAGTCTTTGGGTGTGGCATGGATATTCGAGGGGAAATTCTGCAGGATTCGCTCTGAGAACGGTCGGGATCCTCGGATTATTTGAGGGTGGGCACTCCAAATACTCGGCGGGGTTCTTGGTGGGGTTCTCCGGGTGGGCAGTGCAGGAGGCCCGGGCGAGGAGAATAGCTGAGTCCAACGAAGGAAAATGTGATTAGCAAAGGCCGTGCGCAACAAAACTAACAGAACTAGCAAACTGCTACCCGCAATACGGATGCGAAAGTTTGTGCAGCCCTCCCAAGCTGCAGGCTGTGGCCCCCCCCCCCCCAGCAAGAGGGTTCAGATTGCCGTGATCGCGTTCCTTTCGCTCGCGCGGCGCCCACGCCATCAAGTTGGCAGTCTCTCGAGGCCTGCTGCCTGCTCGCAGTTAGGACGAAGATCGCGCTCCCGCCACTTGGGGCTCCCGAAGAGTGGCTTTCATCGTAAATGGCATGCGCATCATGCGCTCTCGGTCTTGAAAGGCTGGCAGGCGCATGCTTTCCGGATGCGTTCGCTTCGTGCGTCCAGTCTAAGAAGAAAGCTGCATTCATTTTGGGGTGCCATTGGCACCCTCTCGCCTCGGTCCCCCGTGTTCCCCTTGAGTGCAGAACATTGCAGAACTGTCTTCGTCGCTTTAATGCCTAGAGAGCAGTCTTGGAGTCCAAGTTTAGTATCTTGGAGTGCTCTTAGGGTGCCCATTTAGGTGCTCTTTTTTGTGCTTTAACGTGCTCTTGGAACCTCTTACAGATCACCCAGCACGTTGGAGCCCCGTATTTTCCCGTGGCGGCCCTCTCCTTTTTCATCCAAAAACTCCCTCAGGCCATGGCGCGCGGAAGCTACGAAGCCTTTGGGCAACGCTTTCACTGCGAAAGCCTCGAGTACCTGCACCAAGACGATAAGGCCTGGTACTGTCAGTGCGGTCTGGTAGCGTGGGAAGTGAATACAGAGATAGCCGCCTTGGCAGCGTGGTTTGCGAGTCTGAGCTGGCGACAGGTGTTTATCTGTCCACAGGACCAGAAGGCTGCAGTTGGTGCGCTGAGTTTGTCAAGCACCCGTTCGCCTTTTTGGCATCTGACGCCAGGCTTTTCTGAACCAGATGTCCATGCGCTATCATCAGTACATCCGGCATGAGCTCCAGGACGGGAGCCACGGGGTACACTGTGTACTTGTCCGTGTCATCTCAGCTCAAGCTGCTGAGCTTTCTCGCGCCACCCGTGTCTTTTGACGACATGGTTCTGGACAATGTGATCCGAGGTGCAAGATGTTAAGTAAGCAGCACTAGCGATAGAGGAGGCTACAGAACATTGTGCACACGGCCCCGAGCACCTTGAGCCAAGCCAACGGTCAATCGTGCTGAGACAAGGGGTGTGCTGGAAGTTGGCGTCCTCTGACGTCCCATGCATCAACTTGCATCAACTACTCGTACGAAACAACTACCTCAACGGCCGGATAGTAGAGTGTAGAGCTTTCTCGTGGGGTTTGGAAGTTTGGAGTGTCTTGGAAGGCGCTTAGAGGACACTGAACAAGAGGCTTGGGGGGTGAAAAACGAGGCTTGGGCCCGCAGAAGCTCGAGCCTACGCGAGCCTTTTTGTGTTGCGTGGTGCCAACTTTCCGAAGCGCGAAGGTTCTCATGAGCTGAATCGGTTCGAATGGCCCAGTGATGGAAGCCGGGTTTGTGGATGGAGCAGCCTTGATCAGCCTTGTAACTTGTTGGAGTTTCTTGAGAATGCGAGGAGCGCAAGGCAGAGCGGAAGCGCCTCCGGGAGCGCGCCGAGGAGAGCAATCAAAGGAGTGTCTCACAAAGAAGTCCGCAAAGCTTGAGCCACTCACAGAAGTACTTTTATTTGAAAGAGATGTCCTCTTTCTTTCGTAGCGGTGGAGTCGCGTTGCGACGCATGCCTAGCAACAAACTCAGGAGATTTGCTCAGTATACCGAGTCATTGCACATAGTTTGTTGCAAAATCGTTTTCTTTGTGAGCGCTCTCCAGGAGAGGAAGGCACGGGCTGATCGGCATAGACAGCAGCCGGAGAGCCAACCGGCAAGGTGCCTTCTCCAGGGTGTGACATGCTCTGTGACATGCTCTGTGACATGCTGACTGGGTTCCGTTTAATGTACTCGACACAATGTTCTCCATATGTTCCTTCATCTGCGTCAAAGCAGCATCTTGCCAGGGTGGTTCCTGCAGACCCAGTTCCCGTCATCACACCCGATCCAGGCGCCTCTTGTGTGTCACAGAATACATTCGCAAAAGCATCCGTGCCAGGATTGGAGGTGAAGCCGCTTCTGATGCCTGACGTTCCAGAAACGCCACCACCCGTCATCAACGAGGCCAGTTGTCGCTAACCAAGAACTTCCTTCTGGTAGATGCTGCGACTCTCTGGCGTTCGCAGTTTCATGAACGGATCGAATTGGTAAAGTTTTGATGTGCGATGCTGTGAGTGCCCGCGAGGACTTCCAGGAGGCTCGCCGGATGTTGGCAGACCCTTCCAAGGCCCATCGTGCAAGATGAGCCTGGCAGGCCAAGTCGGCGTCAAAGCCTAGAAACGAGGCAGATCCCAGGCACACCTGCGCCTCTCTGTGGCGGTGGATGGCTGTGTGTCTGAGAGAGAGACTGAGAGAGAGACTGAGAGAGAGACAGGGAGAGAGCGAGAGAGTCCACAGTGGAAATGAAGAAGGCGAGGACGAAGAGAGAGGGAAAGAGAGAGGGAGTGAGAGATCTCGCTGTTAGAGCTTCGAGCTCACATTGGAGGCTGGCATCCACGTTCGACGACTCAGAGACCGCAGTTGAAAGCACTGAAGTCTTGCTGGTTGTCAGGAGCAGGTTCCGCCGTTTCCTCGCATGTGGAAGACATCATGTGGAATCCATGCACGTGGCAATCGGCCGACCACAAGCACGAGCCAGAAACCCCCCGAAGAATGCACACATGCCCTTACAGAACCAAAACACCTGGAACAACTGCCCCACAAATTGCCATTATCATGCGCAACTCAGAGTTCTTTCGCCATTGTGTCTCTCATGTATACAGAAAGCTACAGAAGACGCTGCTCTGAGACGCTCGTTCTCTGTTCAAGTGCATATGCAGGAGTACAATGCGCCCGCGTGGCTTCACAACATAACGTAGCCAGCCAACTGACAGTTCCAAAGACGTCCCAACACAAAGGTGCGTGGTGCGAAGCAAGTCCATGTTGCTTCACCACCTCCTCCCAAGGTTGACGCCGTTGCCAGTTCAGCAGACGCCCCTGACACCGCCGAGCTTGACTGAGACAAGTTCGGGAGTGACATGTGGGTCAATCTGGGTGTGCCAAGAAGGCTAACATGGCCTGCGTTGTCAGATACTCTCCTTAATCGCTGAAGGCCTTCAATCCCGAAAGCGGCTGCGGATGCAGCGGGCTTAGCAAAAGATGCATCATGATGCATCAGCCACAAGGAGTGCTTTGAAGCGCTTACTTAAAACACGGGTCGTAAGCCCAGGACGATCTTTATGGTGACATCGGAGGCGAGGAGGCAAGGTTGCACGTGAAAGTGCGTGAAAGATGTTTGCAAGATTCAGACTTTGGACACTTTTGTGGTGAGCTCAGCCCCTGTGCCAGGCAAAGCGACAGAAGACGGGCTCGTCTTATGCCAGTGCAATGACAGCAATGATGACCGGTGACTTTGATGATGACGACTGAGAGTGCGGCATAAACATCAAAGAGGGCAAACGCCCTGACGAATGAGCGCGTCACATCGTTGAGCACAAGCCACTCAGTAGCTTTACATTAGCTTTACATTGCGTATCGTTGCCCCTAGCAGCTGCTGGCACGTTACAACATGCAGCAGGCATTGCGCAGTTCTTTAACGGGCTTTGCGAACGACTTCATGTGCTGATGCGGTGCTGCTACGAGCTGGCTCGTGGGTTCGGGAAAACCTCCACCCAAGCTTGGGGCGACCTTGCCCCTGCCCCAGGAATGCCCCAAATGCACCATTCCTCTGACCATTCCGCATGCAAGATTTCTCTAGATCTGAGGCCCACAGGCACCCACGACCATCCGTGCATTGCAAACTTCCTGGTGCACAGCTCGGAACTGCGGGAATTGCTGTGAGTTTTTTGAGGGCAGCATCTTGATCTGCCAGGTGACGAAAAGAACGATGCTGCTGAAAGTGTTGGCCTTCACTCTGTCAGCGCAGATAGCTTCTGCTTCCGATGTCCTAGTCGAGGACAGCAATCTGCAAGCAAGATCGGTTCAACAAATGTGCCTCGCTCTTTCACATGGGTCGCTTCTGGCTGTTTTTTGTTGCCGGTGGGATGTCAGGATGGGAGGCTTGAGCCCCAGTAGAGGGCCTGTGGCTGTCGCGTGAGTACGCTCAAAAGATCGGGTGGCCCGGACCCGTCTGGATCCAACACCCACTGAGCACGCCGACCAGACCGTGACATTAAGGGCGCGCCCAGCGCGCGGAGGTTCAGGGACTTCTGCCCTGTCCTCCATGCCCGGTAAAAGAAGAAGAAGGGAGGCCTCCTCGACTCACAGGGGCGGTTGTGGTCTATTCCCTCGCGTTCCTTGCCTCGCAACCTGGAACGAAGTTTTGGGGGTCCCCCTTGTAGTAGGCGAGGCTCTTTCGGGGAAGACTGTGGGCTAGTTATGGCTAGTCTCACCGATCGCTTATGATCGCAGGGGTGCTCACTGAGAAGAAGCTGCAGCAGAATGCGCCAAACCCAGGATTGCAAGCGCCCTTAAATAACTGCAGGTGGCCTTGAAGAACACTAAAGGGGTGGGCTAGGAAGGGGGTGGGCCTGCAGCTACACTCTGCCGACGCCTTTCGGCATTCCGGATCCGGAGAAGCGTTAAGCAAAACGGGATCCGGGATGCCCAGCTCAAGCTGAATAGGACGCCGCGCTGTCCCTCATACAGGGCCATGCGCGAAAGATCGTCAAGAGCAAGGCCTCGGGGAGCGAGAATTGACATTTGTTGATGCTTAGCAGTAACTTAGCAGGCTTCGCAGGCTTTGCAGTCACCTGCCTTAGGCCAAAGGTGTTGATGTGCCTACGAAATGCACGGCACGTGCATGTTAGCTGAACTTACAGGTCTTACGCCTCCCAGCATCTGAACCGGAACAGTGCTACTGTATGGAGTCCAATCCATTCCTTAGTGGCGGTGGCAGTAGCCGCAGGTTTGTCGCAGACTCGGCAGCCAACAAAATAGATATGATGATAAGCAGCCAAATTTACAGAAGCCCGCAAGATCTCTACCATCTAGACGCATTCTAGCTCTATTGCGCGGGCTTCAGGAACCCCAATCACACTAGCTTGAAGGGTTGGTGCGGAGAAGCTAAAGGCTCTCTCGACATGGCTAGAGGCCGGAGGCCTTCAATTTGGACATATTTAGACAACATCCGTCTCATCTGTAGAATCCTTGTCTGCAGGGCAACAAGCTTGCCACCATGTCGGCGACAGCCGCGACAGACGTGTGATGCTGAGCGGTTGAAGTCACGTGAGTCAGGCCTGGAAGCAATGCAAAGGGTTGCAGCTAGCACTACTACGCCCGTGTGGAGCTTTCAGGCCTAGAGTCCCAGAGGACACCGCAAAATGGCAAGAGGGCAGAAGGTGCATACATAGGACAGGTGAAGTGCAGACGGAAGCAACCGAATCCCAGGGCCGTGCGCGCGTAGCAAAGCCACCATGTAGTTCCCAAGCGCGCGCACCACGCTGCTGGCATATCTCGTCCTGAGGCACTTGCAGACTTCGAGGGTGGAGCAGGGCTGTCTTTGATACAAGGCTTCCTGGCAGCAATGTCAGTCACGAACTTGAGTGATCTCAAGGCCAGAATCTCAGAAGGCCCACAACAGTCCGAACTTGAGGCAATCAGTGCCGACTCAACGCCTGGAGCTTGGCCAAGAGTCCGCAAGAACTATCGAGCCTTATCCTCTTTGATCCTCGAGCACTACTCGATTGCAGTATCTGCAGAAAGTTGCTGCGTGATTGTCACACCTGTCCGGGCCGGACGCCGGGCTGCTTGGCATGTTGCGCTGTGTGTGGGTTGGCCATGTAGGCAAGCAGTGCTGCGCAAGGGCTTGCTCAGCTGTTTCACTTTACCCAGAGAAGGCTCAAGGGCTCCCAAGAAGGCCGTCAGATGCCGGCGGGGGTGTGCTGTGGAGGGAACGGAAGGGCTAGGAAGCGGGGAAGGGGATGTGGACCCGAGTAGCCCCAGGCTGGCGAGCAGTGTGTGACCGCAAATGGTGCTCGAAAAGTCTTGCCCCCAGCTTTGACATCAGTATGGCATGAGAGGTCCCTCCACCAGGCATGTGTGCCAAGACCGTCCTGTCAAGGTCAGAAAGAACACCGATCCCGCCATGTCGGCGGCAGTAGCTGATGGAATTGAGGAGCATTCGCCCCGAAGCTTCATCTCGGCATATCTCGGCTGGTTTTGCCGTGAGACGTTGCGTGTTCACAATGTTGCAAAAGTTGCAGTCCTCGAGGGCCTAAAGCCCAACTTGGCGCCGACAGCCTATGCGAGCCTCAGACCAACAAGCCAGAATCATTGCCCGTTTCTGACGTGTCTCGTCCTAGCCTGTGACGTACACATCCAGCCTCAGGGCGACCCTCACAACCACTCTCCAGAGTAACTGGAAAACTGTTCATCTAAAGGTTTCGAGGGCGATTGCAGGGAGGTCTGGGGGGGTTTCAGGGGGGGTGCCAGGTCCCCAGCGTCGTGGGCTAATGTTTAAAGCGAAGACAGGTGGAAGCCTCGAACATGCTTGAAAGGTACTGGCCGGCAGGGAACGGCATCCTCAAGGCTAATCTCAAACCTTGAGGGCCCTGAGTGCCCTGTGCTGGCAGGACAGTATGGCTGCTATGTCGCTGTTCCAGGTCAGCCGCGGATCGTGGCGAAAGGCTCTTGGAGCAACTAGTCGTAATTCGCCTGCTCAACCTGTCTCTGGGCCTGTGCCACATGACTTGATGTTGCCTAACTCAGTCCGACTGAAGAGTCAAGAGTGGAAGTGTGGAAGGCCGATGAATGTCACGGGTCGGTGCGGGACGTCGCAGCTGATGAAGCGACGGCAGACCAGGCTACCTGTCGTTTTGCTTGGGTAACGGGTCGGCCCCGGGGCAGACCAGGCTACCTGTCGTTTTGCTTGGGAAACGGGTCGGCCCCGGGTCAGCCACATTGAATTCGCCTCGTAGTTGAAAAGGCCTTGAATCGGAATTCGTTGACAGGAGGGCCGGTTGAGGGTGAGGGCATTGCTGAATTGCTGACCTGCAGGCAGCGGACTCAGCAGCAACTTCGCTGATACAGCAGGAGAGGAGCAAGATCAAGGTCCGGAGGACCTCACTGGCAGGCCTGCCTTGAACTTCACCGCAGATTCTACTTGGGAACATGAATTTGTGGTCAGCGGAATTTCGGTCTTAGGGTCGTATCAGCACTGGTGCTATGACTCCTTACGTTCAATCCAAACTTCACTCAGTCAAGATTTGCACGGGCAACCCTTCACTGGAACACCAGCAATGAGCATCTCACTGAGCGCTTCTGCAGGTTCGTGAAAGCAGTGAGAGGGCTCGCATCGCCCATCACCCGTCATCCACTGGCTGCCTTTGGACCACAAAGATGGCATGTATGAGCATGTGATATTTGCAAGCATCAGCATGAGCGCTCCCCATCGGCTAGAGATGGGGGTAGAGGGGGGTGAAGAGGTGAGAGGCCGCCCGGCATTGCCATATCTTCGGTCGATGTATAATCAAGTTTCAATTAAGGATACCGTCGCGCCTTCTGAGAGTGCCTACGAGTGTGCGACAGATGCAGTTGCTCTTTGCCTGCTGCCGTTTAGCCCGACATAGCGTGCTGCCCCTGACAAAGGAGGCCGAATGACTGTGCAAGGGTTCTTGTGATACTTGTGATGTGATTGGCATCTGACAGAGTTTGCAACATCCAGCTTGCGCATGTCTCATCAGTGTGAGGCTTTGGAAGCCGACTGTAGGATGTCTTGGGTGCGCGGCAAGTCGGGCAATGGTCCAACGACCTTGCTCACCTCATCGAGGACGGGGAAAAGCTGGTGAAAATGTTTTTGTATTTCCATTTTTTGCCTTTTGCCACCTTCTCATCGTGTCCATCGCGAGGAGTGTCCCTGCTGAACTTTGGAGTGAAGATGACGCTTGTTCAAGCCCGGAGAGAGGCCGTTGCCTTGCACGGGCCATGTATCATGCCTGGTCATGCCTTGCAGGGTGCCTTCATGCAATGCGTACGGGATAGTTGGGATCTGGTGCATCTCCGTGGTTCGACATGAACCCAGATCTGCCAGGCTTTGTGCGTGCCCTAAGTGCGGTGGCACTGGACACGATGGCCCCGGTCCAGCTGGAGGAGCGTTCGATGTCGAGTATACATCGATATCATGTCGATCTGAACGCCGACATGTTTGCGCAAAGTGCAGAGTATCGCAGAGTGCAAGCTGCGCAAACATGGCCCAACGCAAGACCGAACGAAAGACATCGAAAGACCGAACGTGAGAACGCAAGACTCATCAAGACTCCCTCTCGGAGGCCCTTCCCGGCCGAGCCAAGACGTGGGCTGCGAAGCGACGCTTCTGGAGTGCGCTCTTGCTGCTCTTCGCGGCGCCCTTGCAGAACAAAGAAGGCAGCCAGGCATAGCCAGGCAAACACTCTGCTAAGCTGAGAGAGCAATGAGTCAGCAGAGCTCCAACAGGATGTGGGAGTATAGTGCCACCGTCTACAAACGGCTCAGGTGCTTTTGGGCCTCGAGCGCCGGCTGGGGCAGGGGATTCAGGCGATGCTTTTGTGCTGCTTTTTTTGTCACTCTTCATCAAAGGCGCAATAGAGGCTCATGTCCACTGCCCACGTCCACGGCTGAGCAGGCTGTGCAGGTGAACGCCCATGAGGCAACTGAGGCGATGTCGCAAGTGGATCGGATCTGCGGTAGTACTGTTGGCTTCAGTTCGAGTAGTACAGATCCAAGTGAACAAATACCGCAATCACGCGACACGTGGAAGCAACCCCAACTGCGGCTGGCGTTGTTTCTTGCCAGGTCTCAACAGAAGAGAGCCGGTCATTTCTGAAGGCGGGGCATGGTCATTCCCGGATTGTCTTTCACTGAAGCTCTGCCAGGTTGGATCTGTGTACCAGAATGACTACATGACTCTCTGGAATGCCAACGAGGTGAACGCAGCATTTGGACGCATATCAATAAGCAAATCCAGAGCAAAACGCCGAAGCCAGCATCGAAGACAAACCAAGAGCTGGGTTTTGCTTCTCTCCCTCGTCTCTGACATTAGCTTCTTGTGTTTTTGCTTTATACATCGCTCCTGTGGGCTTTGCTTTCGGTTCAACGGTGGTCTTCGAATTTGCGCGCTTGAGAACTCAGGAATACCGTGGTGCTGGCATTCCACGCTTGCAGAACTTTTTGCGTATGCAAAATCCACGTGAATGCAGTACTCGAATCCGCGCATTCAAAGCTCTCGCAAATTTCATAGTATTCGAATTCCGAGGGTCGCAAATTTGCTCTTGCACTGTCGTTGATCATTTGACACACAGACATAGGGGTTTAGCTGACCCTTCACGCCCGCAGCGGCTCCACAGTGGCGCGCTGGCATCGTGGCTCAATCTACAGTGGCAGCTTAAACGCTTGTAACAAAGGCTTCTATGGCCATCCAAGCCGAAACGCTCTTGTCCGTCCATCAGTTTTTCTGAGAGAATTCAAGGAAAAATACCTGCCAGTCACCTCGACTCAGTCAAAACAAACAGGCCTGAGTCGGACACCTTGAACCCAAGCGAAGAAACAGAAAAGGCCCCTAGAGAAGACCCAGACAGCCCTAACACTTGATGATCGGTTCAGACGGACACGCTCGAACGTGTTGTCCTTTTTTTTTGTTTCTGGCTCTTGCTGTCTTGCTTTATGACTCGTGCTGTTCAGTTTCCTGAATCGGTCCATTCTCTATTTGGCTCATTTTCCCGAATCAGCGGTCGCCCTTTGTTTGTTTTACCACCGTCTCCCCTGTTGCCGCTCTCTACATTCAGCTGTGGCTCCGACCAGAAATGTGCTCATCGCATGCCTGGATTGTGCAGGTTGCGATCTCAGCTACGCTTCGGATGCAGGACCGAACGGTCGAAAACTTTGGGATGCTGTAGCAGCTGCAGCAGTTGCAGCCTACCTTTTCTTTTGGACTGACCGCGTGAATTCTGGCTGTTGCTTCTATTGGCAGCTTGGGAACATGTGCCAAGACCAGGCCTGTTGCTGCACTGCCTCAAGCAGCATGCTAACCAGGATCTGAAGCATTTTGAGCTGCGTATCGACAACTTGGACTCCAAAGGTCTGCGTAGAGGGCGTGAAGTGGGCTTGCTTTTGCTACGTGTCGCTACAAATTCTCATGATGATGAGCACCCCTGGTGTCACTTTGAGGAGGTGGCAGCGATGGCTGGCCAGATCCTTGGCTTCGTGTTGACGAGTTCGTGTCAGGGTGTCAGGAAGGAGTGGCGCAGTCCGTTTGGAAGCACGAGTTGACGAGCCGACCTCATTTGTGCTTAGGACGTTTTTCTGTCTAAAGCTGGCCGCTTGGGATCCTTCCGAAGCTCTTATCCGTCTTATCCTCCCCCACTGTTTCATCCACCTCAGTGCATTCTGCCGTTTCCGCAGTTGCGAAGCTCTTATTCTGGTTTCGGTTGTTGGATTTGGTTCTAAACAAGCGTCTCCTTGGGGATTGGCAACAGGCGCTCCAGATTGTTGTAAATGTTTCTTCAACATTATGTATCGTGAGTTGTGAATTCTCACGTGCTGAACCGACGTGCAGCGTCCGCATTGTTGTTTGGCACCTGTTGCTATGCGTTTTTGCTGCTTTTCTTGCGCAGTTCTCTCCAGGAGCGTCCGCACTTGGGTGACGTGCATTTTGGCAGGCTGCAGCGAGTCAAATGTTTTCGAGGCATGTTTTGAAATAGCCATTCGTTTCCTTGTGCCGGTCCTTAAATGCTAACCTGCTGTGAGCTCAGGGGCACTCAGTCCGTTATGACACCAATATGAGAGGAATGTGTTATGATGTCTTTTTAATGAGTTTATTGCTGCTTGCAATGACTAAATTTACTTGCTATCATTTTAGACCGGGACCGCTTCCATGTCACTCACCACACGGTTTTGGGGATCGCTACTGTCTCCAGCGCTCCTACCAGCTTGGTCAGCACGAGGAGGGCCACACACACACACACTCTTCTGGTTTCTCATTCGCTCGCCATGACCATGGTGAGCATGATGATGATGAGTATCAGTATCATGATGTAGCTCCTTGTGGATGCCCAGAAGCTCTCACGCTTGCACACAGGCATTTGCTGCTTCTGGGATTTTGCAGAGTATGAGGTGTCCCTTGCTCTTGCGGGGTGGGCTACCGACATTGTGGCTCTCTACATAGCTCTTGCGATTGCCACGCGCTGTCATTCGTCTGTTCTACGCTACTGCGCAATTTGCGCGCCACCCGAAAGCACACATATCACGTGCCAAAAGCGCTTGCAGACTCCCGCGCTTTTTGCTGATGTGCTTTCTTTGCATTGAAAGGCTAACATGTTGCACCGGCCTCAGAGCTTCCACCATTATAACCACTTCCCTAACCATATCACAAAACATGCGGACACACAGCAAAGCAACACGCCACGTGCAGAGAGATGACAGTTGGAGGCGAAGGCTTGCGGCAAGAGTGCCAGTGGCAGTTCAGGGTGATAATATGCCACGTTGTTCCTACACGCATAAGTCATGGAATGATTCTAAACAGCGAGATGCGCAGGTTTACCGTGACTGGATCTTTCCAGTTACAGCCAGTGAAAGATGGCAAGCTTAAGATATTGCCTGACAAATCGCGTGGTGGAAAGAGCGATATGGTTCCAGTCTTAGATCTCAGAAGCTCGCAACTTGCACAGACATCCCATCACTTTGGTCAGAATTGTTTCAATGCGTTGTGAGGTGTTTCGCTTTGATGAAAGCCTTCACGATGGGGCCGCACTCTTCTTGTACCGGCTCCTGGACGAAACTGGCTGACAGGTTTCCAAAGTATGAAAAGTACGCGAAGTGCACGAAGCGCGATGCGCGATGATTCGCATAAAGACTCGTACTCGAGTCGTACTCGAGTCGTACTCGAATATCTCTAGTTGTACTCGAGTACTCGACTACCGCAGAAAGTAGAGTTTGGGGCTTCTGCTCTCGCTTCTGGCTTTCGCTTCCCTCGTTAGGTGCTTGAAGCGTATTGGCGGCCCCGGCATCCTGAACTTCCTGCAGCTCGAGGTGGACACGTCCAAGGCGCTCTTCCCGCGATGCTTCGCAATGCTGAGCCTGTTACAAGCATCTTGCCCTTCTTCGCAATGCATCGCAGTGAGGTTTCAGTTGCATCTTCTGCCAGGATGCCGTTTTCGTTGCTCCGACTGCGCGACTCCTGCGGGCTCTTTGGGACCAGCCAGTGGTCCTGAGGCGCAGAGTGGTATCACATGGGCGCCAAATGTGATCTGCCTAGGAAGCAAAATAGGCGCAGGGGTTGAGCCGATTTAACATACAACACACCGTGAGGGGCACAATTCCACCAAGTGGCTGGGCGGCATGTCGCCGCTTCGCCATGGGATAGCATGGCCGGGTCAAGTCACAGCTATGTGGACGGGTGGTATCCAAGCATTAGACCATGGAGGCATGGAGCCGAATGGAGCCCGACTGGTAGACTTGCCGGGACTACGCAAGGGAGAAGCAATGAGAATCTGTAGGCAAAAGCATGCAAAAAACACATGGATCTACTAAATTACTAGATTGTAGCAGTGCTGTTTGATCGCGAGGGGTCACCTTCCGGTGGATTGTTTTCACTTCGGGTCTGCTTAAGTGCTTAAGCAGCATTGAAAGCGGCGAACAAACCGCTGCTTCGTCGCGGACTGACATGGTTTTGGCATGTCTTGGAATTGCGAGACAGCTCCTTGAGCCTGAGCAGGCTCACTTCCGAGGACTGGGAATCTTGTGAACTGTCAGAGAGATTCCTGGATTTTTGCAAAGCGCACCACTCAGCTTGTGTGCAGTGTCGCTGCGAGTGCCTTCAAGCAGCAGGACAAAGTTTGGACCGCTGAGAAAACACCAATTGCTACCCGACCTGCATGGGGTTCTGCAGCTCCATTTGTTAGCTTGGAATTTCCTGATGTCTCCTTCGGTCTCTTCGCATTTTTGTTCCTGGTGTGCTGCACCCAAGGTTTGAGGTTCGTGCTGATTCGTGCTTGTGCACACCTGAAGAACGCCGAAGTGCGAAGTCTGCCCGTGAAGCTAGTTTGCATGCGCGCAGAAGGCCTCATTGCAGCATAGATGCCTGCGTGCGAATGAGTACGCCGCACTGGCATGTCTTTGTTGCATTGCCGTTCTGCGCCCTTTGAAGAGGCCACATGAGCTTTTGAATCGGTTTGTCTGTGGACCACCGGGATGGAACCGAGTGTTCATTTGATGGCACCGTAGCCGCGTGCAAGCATTTGATTGCCTGCACCGGGCCCGTTCCCTTTGCGCTTTGCCTACTGTGCGCACAGTGCAGGCGCCTTTCTAGACTTTCTAGATCCTGTCTAAACAGAACTATTTGTGATCTTCCGCCTGACCAGTCACTTGCGAAGGCTTGCCTTAGCAAGGGCTACCAGTTCCTTTCTCCACGTTCCCATGTCCGGCTGCACAGTGCTGATCCAAGCGAAACGTACGAAACGTATGAAACACAAGTCTGTGGCAGGTATTTTTAAAAAAAACCACAGCTTGGCAGCTTCAGTCGTTGTTCAAATGCGATTTTCAACGTAGACGGATGTGTGTTTGTTCGTGACTCTGCAGGCGCAAATTTCGGCTGTGCTGCTGGTGCTTTTGCGGTTCTGGTGCTGCGCTGTTGACTCACTGTTGCCCAAGTGTTGTCCATGGCTCTGCGTCTGCTCGATTGTGCACAGGTGTACGATCGTTTCCAGAAGCATTTTGGCTCAGGGTGGTTGCAATGGATGCATGTGGCATGTGGGAGGGATTTTGAAGCTGCAGGGGCTCACCAGGCTGGTCTGCTGCATCGCTACGGCAGCATGCCCGCAACCCTGCACATCCTGCGCACAGGTTTCCACATCTGATCGGCCCGACTTTTGATGTCAGCATGCCAGACAGAGGCAGGCCTCAACTCGCAAAGTTTTGCATGGCGCCCTGTGTCTCTTGCTGAGGTGAAGATTTGTGAGCCAGGAGGAGGTGGAATCCTCCTCCCACTTTTCGGGGACGATGAGCAGGCGGCAAGCCATACCTCTAAGCTATGCTATCACCTTTGCAGTTGACGTCGTGAGGAATCTCAAATTTCACAGTTGGCAGTTACTTGCTCGTTCACCTCAGGTTCTTTTTCCCTTGCTTCTGGTGTCTGTCAAGTTGCTTCAGAAAAACGGAAAGGGGTAGCCATCGGATGTTGCAGCCTCGCGAGCCCGGCTCACACTTTTGCAGTACTTGTGCCTGTGAGCTTTCGTGTAGTATAGTGGGGAACCCTGGGAGCGGCTTAGCTTGTAAAGGGAAAAGGAACAAACATCGAAAGAGGTGTTGTTACATGTGGCGTATTGTTCGGGAACCTGAGTCACCCAAGCAGCAAAGGATAAGACTACGGTTATCAAAAAACACTTTTTGTTCAGGTCGTGACCTTCGGTTTAGCGTGTTGGGATGTGTTGGTTTTAGAGCTCCATCAGGCTTGGTTCTGCGTTCAGGTTCCGGCACAAGGATGTGTTTTGAAGGCATTCTCACAACCATCGACCTTGTTGTGAAACAAGAAGGAATAGGTCCTGCGAGCATGAGTGCCGTGTGTACTCAATCTGTCTTCTTGCACAAACGTTGTAAGGCGACAGGAGTGTAACAACCGGAGCGTTAAGTTCACATGGATGGGGGTCTTGTTGTGATGCACGTGCATCCCAGCATGGCGCAGGAATGGCGCAAGGGGTTGAGAGCGGTTCTCTACCTGCTTGGCTTACTCTGGCTGTTCATGGCCGTCGCCACTGTTTCCGACATCTTCATGGGCAAAGGACTTGGCTTTCAGATGCTTCGGTCCGCAGCAGCGGCTTTTGCATTTGGCCTTGCATGTCTGGCTCCGGGTGTGCACTGAGGTGCGATCGAAGAGATCACGTCGAAGAAGAAACGGGTCTTGAATGCCAGCACGGGCAGATATTTCACCGTCAAGGCATCCCACGGCTTCACATGGATCTTTCTGGATCTTCATGGTTCTTCTGTGGCAAGTCCTAGTCTTAGATGAAAGCTTCAACAAGAGTTCTGGAACGGGTCAGGTTTGGAACGACACGGTGGCGAACCTCACGCTTATGGCACTGGGGTCAAGTGCACCAGAAATCCTTCTGTCAGCCAGGGCTCCAGAAACTCAAGCCAGGTGATCAAGTCGTTCTGTGTGGCTTCTCAAGCCAACTGACCAGGGGTTTTGTGTAACGAGGTAATTGAGCTGCTCGGGAATAGCTTCTACAGCGGAGATCTCGGGCCCTCTACCATTGTAGGCCGGATGGCAAGCATGGACTGCAAACATCTGTGTTTTGGAATGTTCTCACGAAGGTACATACATATTTAGAGCAAACTGTAATATTCCACTCTGGCTGGAGGCAGTGCTGCCTTCAACCTCTTCTGCATCTCAGCCGTGTGTGTAATGGCAATTCCGGACAATGAGGCCTATCGCGCAGGAGGCTGCTGGAAGCTCCAAGCATTTCAACCTTCCGCAGTTGTCAGGTAAGGTATATCAAGGAGACCAACGTGTACCTTATCACAGCCGTCATCTCTTTGCTTGCATACCTTTGGCCCACTTCTCGGCTGTGCTCCAACGTTGTGCTTCGGATCCCGTAGTCGGCTTTCGTGAGTGGTCTTTCGAAGGCTCTACCTAGTGGTGTCCGTGATCTCGGAGGACTGTTACCACTCAGAAAGTCATTCCTGTCATGAATGGGGTGTTTTGTGAGCTTCGAGGACATGGTGGACATTTTTGAAGGCAGGTTGGCACCCCCACAGTTATCACTGTGACGGTGTAGATATGTGTAGATCTTGATACAGCATCTAGGCATTCTCACTTTCCTCTACTTCCCAATGCTCGTCGCGCTCGCCTTCGCTGCAGACAAAGGCGACAACAAGGGTTGAGTCGGGTGAGCTTTCAAACTTTCGGACGGTGGTGGACATGTCTGGCATGTCTGAGTGAACCTGTAATCTATGGACAGACTATGCAGGCTACATCACCTTCATCAAGCGCACGAACTCTGACAACATGCACATTGTGCACAAGGTGGATGTAGGGGTCGAAAAAACAGGACAGAAGGCAGACAGCCTCAGGGGCATCTCGCTTAAGCTTCGTGCGACAGCTTGGCTGGCTTTGGGTCGACCAACGCCTCTGCTAAGTGCATCATCGACCCCAAGGCCCTAAGGCCCTAAGCCTGCTACAGCAAATGTGTTGCAGGGGGCATCTCATGTGGAGAGCCATTGGCAAACTGGCTGCCAATTCCTTACAACCAAGCTACATGCCGTACCTGTGGGGCACGCTTTGGGAGATTTGAGAGCGATGTACCTGGATACCTAGCACACTCTGGCCATGGCAAGCCCCAAACAAACAAAAAACACCTAAACCAGGAGGCCAGCCGAGAGCATGGGTAGGACATCATAGGACTACAAATGACGTGTTGAAGTATCGTCCTGGAAGGGCAAGCTGGAGCTGTCTGATGAAGACATGGCCCGAATGAGCAAGGCAAGGAAGTGGCGGAAGTTGTCGCAGAAATGTCAATGTCACATGTCACACATGTCACACATGTCACACATGTCCACACATCTGCATCTGTGCACTCAGATTTACGCGTTACAGCTCCGTTCGAAACTCACACAATGAAACAACAGAGAGCGAGGCTGATGGCATGCAGATCTCCGATGAAGAGCTTGCCAAGTACATTGGGACGGAGTCACAAAGAATGTCCAAGGCACTAGTCTCGATTGAGAGAAAGATTGCAACGAAGGTGCTCTTTGTTTCAGTCAACAGGCAGCCTATCGCAAGCGAGCTCATGATCAAGTCTACCACGGCAAGCCTGCCGAAGTTGCAAAGCAAAGGACACGAGCACTGCCAGCAGCCCTGACGCATGCCTCCTGCCAGGTCTGCTTTGACTTGCTATCATTTTTGGATCTGACACGCAGGAATCACAACTTCTCGGCTGTGGTGCCTGCAGAAGAGCCTCCTTTGTCGCCATCAGGCGAGGAGGATAAAGGAAGGAAATCCACCGGGAGTTGTAGAAATAGTTCTTTCAATGCTTAAACGGTTTAACGTTTTGCAGAAAGCTTGCAGGGGGCTATGTCGCTCCACCGACTCCAGCGGCAACTGTCCTCTTCGGTGGGGAAAACTTCGCCGTGCTCGAGACAGCGGGCAGCCCACATTGCGCCTTCATGGTCAGCCAGTGCTGTAGAGACTGTAGAGATCACAGCCGAAGGCAAAGTGTTCACTGTGCGCTGCCACGCCCGCCGTTTCATCGACGCTGAGGTTGGTTTGATCAAAGTGCCCGTGCGGCGAACCGGGAACTTGTCCCTGTCCGTGCACGTCGACTACTCGTGCAGAGATGGTACCGCCAAGAAAGGCGAAGACTACGAGGCATTGACGTTGCAGGTTTAGAGATCTTTGGTGAAGGGACTGCCTAGACCGCAATCTCGCTTGGAGGCGCAGCTTTGTTTGGGCGGAGCATGGCAAACTTCAAGCCCCGAATCATGAGAAAACAACCCCCGGCCCCCCTTTTGGGGGTAAGCTGAGAAACTATAATGAAGGCTTTGCAGGCATAGTGGTGAGTGGCAAGTCCAAATTCTACAAGACGATGTGAGTCCCGAGAAGCAGCAATGAGCAACTCTCAATACTCGGGTGAATTTCCAGCAGAAGTGGTCAACCCTAAACCTTGAAATTAATGAGAGCGCCTTTTGAGTAGCGCGTAGCAAACCCCTGAGCCGTAAAAGGACGGGTATCTTAGAAGGAGTGGAAGGACAGGAGTTGCCCAGTGATGTTGGATCATGTTGGCTAACCGGCGCGAGAAAGAAAAACAAGTCACACGTTTACGATTGATTTTGTGAAAGAGATTTGCTTGGTAGCGCTCGGAAACTAGGAAAGAAATGGTCGTACCAAGACTTCTTTTGCCCTAAAGCAGTCAGGCAGTCGAAGGAACAATGACCTTCCTTCCGCAGGAGGCGGAGTTTGCTGAACTGGTGTACACACGTTTGCACTGTTCTTTCCAGGGTGGCTGCTCAGTGATTGGCACCTTGAGGCCGAAAAGACCATTGACATCAAGATCATGAAAGATGATGTCCCAGAGGTCATGAGATCTGTTTGATGGTTTCATTCTCTTGAAGCTAAAGGCTTTCAGCATGTCCCCATGTCCCCGTTGCAGGACAGCGAAGACTTCTTCGTGGATCTCACAAACGTGAGATGCGCCTGCAAGGACGGTCATCGAAGTCCGCCGACTGTCGTTAAAAGATATTTTTAAGATTTTAAAGATAACGCCATTCAGGAGGGCTTCGCAGCTCTTGGGCCGGTTTCAACTGCCAGGCCTTAACGGTACAGGGATGCATAATGGCATAGTACGGCATCATTCCAGCATGCAGCATGGGGCATCTGCCAGGGTCGTCATCGTCGACACCGATGAGCCCAGCGTCATTTACACAGATGATGATGTCGTGCAGGTTGACGAGGTGCAGTATGAGTCACAGTATGAGCATAAATGAACTGTTATGTCATGCGTGGAGGTCTCGAGAGACAAGGAAGTGCGCGTGACCGTCAGGCTCGACTGAACCATACTGAACCTGCCGTGGATTGTTGTGGCACCTTGCGGTCAGAGCTTGTGAGTTCAGATCTTGAGGCGTCGTGATGGCTGTGGAGTCGTCTCATGCAAGTATGTGACGGAGGCAATGGTATTTATGTGCATTTTCAGGCCTCCAGGTATGGAATCATCATGCAACCGGATGGGCTGACAGGATGGTAGCGCAGTCGAAGGCAGGGGGCTCTGTGGAAATCGAGTCTAATTTGCTTCAAATACTTTTGATCCTGTCCAGGTCGCGACTATGCCCGCGCCGAGGGTATGATCACCTTCGGACAACAGGAGTTCAGCACAGAGGTTGCGATCAGCATCCTCGCCTCGGCCACCTTTGAAGACAAAGAGGACTCCCAGAAACTCCCAATCACTTCGGCTCAACTGCTCTGCTCGGACTCAGTCATGCTCTGTCCGCGGTAGAGGTTGGGGGTGCGAGGCTTGGGGTTTCGGTGTGGAACAATTCTCTTAGCCCATCCTTCACATTGTTATCAGCCTCGCAGGACTTTCGGCTCATTCTGTCGGATGCTACTGGACGTGCCGGTTTCGACCCTAATACGGATGGGGGAGCCGTCGCTCGCTTGCACAGGTGCGAGAGGCACTTCCCGCAACGGAAAGTCTGATACTTTGAGCAGAGAAGACTGGCAGTACAGTCGAACGTTGTGTTGCCTTTTTCGTCATGTCCCAGGACAGCTGCATTGTCACGTTGGTGCTCACGCCAGTGGAGGTGCATTTGGCGACTTCTGAACGAGAATGAGAGTTTCAGACCATCAGCGGTGTAATCGCATAGGGAAAAAAACGCTTCACAAAGTTCACAAACAGGAAAGATGTAGACAAGATGTCTGCCCCAGGTGTCCAAGAACTTGGCACATCGAACAATGCGCGCTCTGGGCGTGAACTGGCAGAAGACACAAAAGGGCCACGAAAACTGGAAGGACGCACCGACGCTGTTTTCTAAAGCCAATTTTTGAATACGGATGAAGCAACCCGCAAACATTCATGGACCACCTGGCAGATTGTTCGTTTCCACAGGACCAGTTCATCAATTCTTTGCTGGTCAATGGGGGTGATGATGAGGCGGCACGTGCTTAAGCCTTGCGGTGGCCATGTGAGTGCAGGTCTGATTCCTAAGTGGCTCATCGCTGACTGTGTCTGAGAATTTGCTTCGGGCATTCTCCAGTAGTAGGAGACAGAGTAGCAGACTCTGCAGATTGTTACGGAAAGTAGGTGACAGACAGACTCAGCAGATTGTTGCGGGCTCTTGTGGGATGAAGTGGGCCTCGTGCAGGCCGGTCCTCCCTCGGGCTTTCAGTGGGCATTGCACCTCCTCACGCTTCCGTGGAAGCTGCTCTTTGCCATCATTCCTCCGGTGGTCAGAAACTTGGGATCCATGCAAGGAGCAGCAATGTCAACGTTGTGCGATGGGTCTGTGCTGCAAGGACTACTGTGGTGGTTGGCTGTGCTTCTTCGTTTCGCTCATGTTCATTGGCTTGGTGACAGCCCTCATCAGCGATCTAGCTGTGTTAAGCTCAGACGATACTCTTAGTGTTCGCAGCGGACGCTAGTATGCTACTCTCGTGACTCCGGCTGCCCGAGCTCGCACGTGCACACAATGCGCAGCTCTGAGGGGCTTGTGGGCTGCGTCCTGGACATGCCCGACTTCATCACGGCAATCACCTTGGCGCATCCCCGAGCTTGTGATTGTCGGCGGTCACCACGATTCGTACTTGCAGTTTGTTGAATTGCTTCGTGGGTGCTTGCATATCTCGATTTTAGTTGTGCTGGTATGCTTCTACGTGCTTTTCTGTGTAGGTCTTTGCTTGCTGTGCGACATTCCAGCTCATTCCCAAGATGTGTTTTCTGCTCCAGGTTGCCTTAGGCACCTCTTTGCCGGACACGTTTGCATCGAAGGCTGCAGCGGAGCAGGCTGCCTGCCAATGTCTGAATCCGTGAATCCCTGTTAATCCCTTGACTTCTGGATCGCCTCTTCTGACTGTGCCTGACAGGACCCTTATGCAGACGCCTCAATCGGCAACGTCACTGGCAGTAACTCAGTCAATGTGCTGCGGCCTGAGTCAAATCTTGAGTCAGGTCTAGAAGTCTAGCTATCCATAGCTATCCCACGTGCGTCCACGTGGGAGCGTGTGCGAACCGCTGCCTTTTAGATCTTCGCAGTACCGCAGGTTCCTGGGGCTCGGGCTGCCTTGGACGATTGGCTCGTGCTACTGGGCCTCAGTTGGGCGAACGGCGGAGTGGCAGAAGAAGTACCAGTCCGAGGCGGCCCAAGGACTTGGTACATTGAATTTGACTCGCGAGCTAGTCCTCACGCTTCGAAACCTCTCCCCTCTCCCCCACCGCGCCCCCCACCTCTTCTTTCGAAGGCCAACTTCGACTTGTGGAACAGCGGAGATGGCAAATTCATAGTGATAGGCGCCTTCCTGCGGTCAGCATGCAGCATGCTAATCAGCATATTAATTCTCTCAGGCTCCATCTACAGGATATGGCCATATAAATGTATGATATCCCTGAAGGGTTCGCGGCGGTTAGCAAGTGAGTTGACCACTCAACCGGTGAGTGTTGCTGGAAGACAGCGATAGCGATAGGCGCGGCGACCATTTTTGTCAAGGGTGCCCATGGGCTCTCATGCGAATGGTGCGAATCGAATTTGACCCATATTAGCATCTGAGCTCGATCACACAGATGGACATGTTGTTGAGACTGGCATTTCACAAGCTCGAGTCTCGAGCCAGCTAACAACAGCTGGGTGACCGCCAGCCACACCCTCACTTGAGCCGGCGCAGCCGTGATATGCCACGCTGCTTATTGGGTTAGTGGTAGGTTGCTGGCACGCACTGAAACCCATTGGCAGCGGCGGGCGTGCGTGCAAACCGGCAGGCCACGGCGCTCAACACGCCGGCACAAGTTTCAACAGGGATGCACGCCACAACAAGCCACAACAGCACCCACCAAGCCAACGCACGCCACAGCACCGACATCAGAGCGACAACGCATATGCAGCCACGGTGGGAACGCATGATAACAAGCAGAGAACCAGAAATTAATTAGGTTCATAGTGGGGTTGCCATATATAATCATATATAACATACGCAGTATATACACATATTTTTATAGCCGAATGAAGGAGAGGGTGATGGGAGAATCAGACCTCCACGTGCAAGCAGAACAGTGCTTCAGCACGTCTTGTAAATGAGGGCGAGGGTCCAGCTCACACATGTGCTTCACACTGCAACAAAGAGACGCTTGTGCTCTGGCGCAGCTGCAGCCCAACACCTGCAAATTCCCCGGAAAGGAGAGCTACGTACATATACATGCCTTCGGCAAAAGTGAAAGCTTCCAGCACTCCACCACACAGTTAGATTCCCGTATCAAATTTGATTGCTTTTGCTGAACGGAATTGTTGATGTTGACTGGTGGTCTGAACCCTGTGCTGAACTCACTAGAAAACTCGGTCATGGTTGCATCTGCATATGTGTTTGGTTGCTGGCCCACTGCAGATCATTAGATTAAGCCACGAGTGCGCCGGGAAATGGTCGGGAGTAGGGGTATTTCACCTAGGCGTCATGATCAACCAGGGTCACATGCGACAAGCACGTACTGGAGACATCCAATACTCGAACCGAGCAGGCTGACAGAATTTCTCAGCTCATTCTCTTGAAATGCATCGAAGGGTTGTGTGAGCAATGCTCCGCACTCCATACTGCACGTTTCGCCGCAGAATCGGCCAAGCAATCTCAGTAGACAGTACACTGTACGGTGCTTGAAGAGTACAGCATACACAAACCAACAAACTAACAAACACACGCACACACACACACACACACAACGACCAACACCAGCAGCAACCACACGATGAACCAAACTCCAAATCAACAATCGCACACAAACAACAACAAACAAACAACCACACACGCACACGTACACACACACACACACACACACACACGCACACACACACACACACAGACACACACACACACACACACACACACACACACACACACACACACACACACACACACACACACACACACACACACACACACACACACACACACAGCCACACACACACACAGACACACACCACACACAGACACACACACACACACAGACAGACACACCCACACCAGGACCCACCACACCACACACACACACACAGGACAGACACCACACACACACGCACGCACGCACGCACGCACGCACGCACGCACGCACGCACACGCGCGCAGACAAGCCACAACCCACAAGCGTCAAACAAAGAACAGAAGCAAAGAAGCAAAAACAAAACAACAAAGAAACAAAGAAGCAAATAAACCCATACAAACAAAATTGAACAAGAAAACAAAGAAACAAAGAAGCAAAGAAGCAAAGAAGCAAATAAACAAAGAAACAAGCAAATAAACACACATTTTGTAGCTTTGCATAGTCTGTGCTCCAGTGACCATAGCCCAGCATTCGCGTGACCACAAGCACTTACAAACAACAACATCAACCACAACAACAATCACAACCATCCACCAGCAAATACAAACAAAGGCAAACAACAAGCAAACACAGGCAACGAAGACCAACCACAACCAAACAAAAGGCAAGCTCGCACAGGCGAAAACACACATAAACAGCCCCAAGCAAAGCAAATCAAAGCACAGGCAAGCAAACATAGTCAAAGAAACAAGTCACCAAACAAGCACAAGCAAGCAGAACAACAACAACAACAACAACAACAACAACAACAACAGCAACAGCAACAACAACAACAACAACAGCAACAACAAGAACACAAGCAACTGCACAACCAGCCACGCAAACAGACATTCAACATGGAAGCAAGCAAACCAAACCAACACACGCACACACACACGCACGCACGCACGCACACACACACACACACATACAAACGTACAAGCATACAAGCCTACATACATACATACATACATACATACATACATACATACATACATACATACATACATACATACAAACACACACACACACAAACAGACAAACAGACAAACAGACAAACAGACAAGCAAGCTGACAGACAACACACACACACACCATACCACAGCAAACACAACAGCTATGTAGCAAGCGAGTGCAGACAACAAACCAATCATCAAACAAGCAAGCAACCAACCAAACAAGCAAACACCAGACAAAACACAGCACACAGCGCACGCGCACAAGCTGCAACAACAGCACGAACGTGCAAACACCCACCGACAACCATCAACATCAGCAACAAGTACTGCGACAACAATAGCACCAATGACAGCCATGACAACTACAACGACGATAACAAGCAAGCGCGCAAGCGCGCAAGCAACAAAGCAAGGAAGCAAGGAAGCAAGGAAGCAGGGAAGCAAGGAAGCAGGGAAGCAACAAAGCAAGGAAGCAACAAAGCAGGGAAGCAAGGAAGCAGGGAAGCAGGGAAGCAGGGAAGCAGGGAAGCAGGGAAGCAGGGAAGCAGGGAAGCAAGGAAGCAAGGAAGCAAGGAAGCAAGGCAGCAAACCAGGAAGCAGGCCAAGAAGCAGGCCAGGAAGCAGGCCAGCCAGCAGGCAAGCCAGCAGGCAAGCACAAGCAAGCAAGCCAAAGCAAGCAAGCCAAAGCAAGCAAGCCGAAGCAGGCAAGCCAAAAGCAAGCAAGCCGAAGCAAGCAAGCCGAAGCAAGCAAGCCAAAACATGCAATCCAAAGCAGGCAAGCCAAGCAAAGCCAAGCCAAGCCAAGCAAAGCCAGGCCAGCCGAGCTAAGCAAGCAAGCAAGCCAAGCAAGCAAGCAAAGCAAGCAAGGCAAGCAAGCAAAGCAAGCAATCAAGGCAAGCAAGGCAAGCAAGCAAGGCAAGCAAGCAAGGCAAGCAAGCAGGCGAGCAAGCAGGCAAGCAAGCAAGCAGGCAAGCAAGCAAGCAAGCAAGCAAGCACCAACAAGTACCAAGCAAGCACACAAACGCACGAACAAGCACACAAACGTTCAAACAAACAAAAGATAAAGCAGCAAAATCGAACAACATGGGCACAAAACACAAACCACACGCAAGCGAGCGAACAAAAGACCAATTGCGAACACCGACCAACATGCGGCCAATGGAATTCAAACAGCGTAACCAAAGCCACGGCTGTCACGAGGATGGCAAGCCCGACAGTCACCATCTTCTGGCCCCTCAGCACATTTTTTGCACTCGAAAGCCAAAGCTTCAAAAGTGATGAGCACCATACGCTGGTGTGGAGAATGTTCGGGAGCCTTGTGCAGCGTGACAGTCAGGTCAACAGGGGTTCCTAGCACCGCAACCGGGGATAAGTAGACTGCGTGGCCATGTAAGATGTCCCAGCAAATCAGAAGCACAAGCAATGCGTTGCGCCGACCTGCAACAAAGTGAGTCCGGACACCGGGATGCTGTGTCCTCCTCGACGCGTCCGTAAGCGAAGGATATGTGCCCCAGTTTCGGCCAGGTTGACATAGGAACACGGTGAATCGAAGAACGGATGCGATAGACAGTTGCGAAAGCTGTGCTGCCGACATCTGCTGGCCCGCACCCGTGTTTTTTTTTGCGAAGTTCCTTGCTAGCCCAAGCACTCTCACTCCAAGCACCTAAGACCTAAGTATCTCACAAGTAAACTAGCGAGAAATGGGCAGGTGGAGATTTGGGTTACAGCGTGGTGATCTTCAGCGTTGGCGCATTCTTTTGTATGTTCGTCCTGTTTCTGCGACGGAAGGCAGGGCAAGTTGATCATGGCCTTTCCCAATCATGTGATGAGACTTCTGCCAGTGAGGTTTTTGGCGGGGAACTTGGTGGTCCGCGAGTCTGTAAACACATCACAAGTGTGATCCTAGTCATGGTTTGGTGCGTGCAGCTTGGCTTCTTTCGGCTCGTTTTGTTGAGACGGTAGCAATAGCAGCAGTTTTGTCAGTTGTGGTCAGATGTCAGCAGACCTGCGCTGCCAAGGTATGTTATCCTGTCTTCCGTCAAGTCCCTTGAATCCGCTGCGGCAGAGGTCTGCAGATGACATCACAAAAGCGTGGCTGAAACTTGCTTAAGGCAAGCTTCAGTGCTCGCTAGCGAATTGCACAAATTGGTTGACCTCATAGTTGCCTAGCGAAGTGCGCATGAGGTCAGCAGCCGACACACAACACGAAAAGCCCGATAGCATAACGAATATCTTCCTGTCACTTATCGATAACCAGGTGCAATGCTGAATCTACTTCAACATTGGGCGAACATCATAGGCAGTGCTTAGTGTAGCTTGCCGAATAGTTTCTGTGGGCGCTGGGTAGTTGCAGTTCTTCGAGCAAGCTCAATGCATCTCAATGTCACCCATGAGGGTGTCCAAGCAAAGCACAAGCAAAGAGGACAATGCAGCAGGCCGAATCTTGGCACAGCTGGCATTTGTCAGTGCTTAACGACAACCAGAGAGAGGACTACGCTGTTAAAAGACACTGAAATGTCAAGCGCGCCTGGACGATCAAATCTAGCGGTACTTCTCTCCTGCTGTCATAGAGATAGTAAACAGGCCACGTGACGACGGTTCGGACCTGTCTTTTCAAGCTTGTTTCATTGCATACTTTGTAAATGGCAGTTTGAGACTCATGCAGTACTGATGCAACATCCAGTTAGCCGAACCAGGGGACAAGCTGGGCTGCGCACAAAGTGTGCTCGACGGCCCAGCGCACAAGCATCATTAGCGTGCGCTTCACTTTCAGCTCCCGACCTGGGATTTGGTGTGCCTCGGCTGGCGTACTGGCACCGCATCGGTGAAACCTTGTACAAATTCATTCTTCGACAGCTATGCCGGAGTCCAGGTTTGTGGGCTGAGATACGATGTCAATGTCTCCCCTATCCCCCATGTTCGATTAGTAGTTCCCATGCTGCAAGTGTTCGCCAACGGCGGACGCACAGATGGGTTGTTTCACACTTGCCGGGAAGCTGCGCATTAAGGCATTATCAGCTCCTTTTTTGGCCATCCAGGCCACTCTTTGAAAAGAGTCTTGGCATCTGCGACGTCTGTGGTAAGCACAAGAGCCTTGTTTCGTTACATGCCTGGCTGTCTGCACACTTTGCACTTGAACGGCTGGGTCTGTTGAGTCTCATTTACCGCGAAGATCAGGGCATGACATTCGCCCTAAGCTGACCCGACTCATCATCCTGCACAACCGCACCGTGGACTTACCGTGCCAGCCACACCCTTCCGATCCTTGATGCGCATAAAGCTGAAGTACGTAAGATCTCTGCTGCCATGTCCTGGCTTCGAGGAGGGGCACAGGACCTGCGGTAGATGCTTGCGGCAGCCCAATCGCTTTTGTCACATGCGTCACGCAGGAATGGAACAACCAGTTCAGGCTGACGATTCAGTGTGTACGTTTGTCAGTCTTTAAATGTGCTGCAAGAGACTCTAGATTCTCGTCTTGCGTCTTGCAGGGACACGCTGAACAGGGCAGCAAATTCTGTGCAACGATTTGCTGAACAGGCCATACCGGCGCGTGAGGGCTGGAGCTGTGAAGTTTCGTCACTTGGTCAGGCAGAGCTGCAGCAACTGGGAGAGCAGTTCCTCGCCCAAGCGCAGACCTTGGCCGAGCAGGGCGAGGCCAGCATAGGCCAACATGGGCCAGCACAGCTCTCAAAGCCGATTTTTTGGAGTCCAGCTGCCAGGCAGCTTTAAGCAATGTTGCAGACAAGGCCTCTCCAAACCGCTTCTTGAGACCGGAGAGCTTGGCTCCGGAGTCCGTCTCACTTGGCCCCCTTGCACTGCAGGTGACTGGCGGTGTGTCCTCCTTGGGCTTGTCATCCTCAGAGGCCGAATCCTCACAAGCAGAATTCCCGGGCAGCTCAGAAACAGACATATAATCAATGAATCAATGAATACATAATATATATATATATATATATATATGCCAGATGCAGAAGACCCTCTGGCAAGCTACGTTGGCAGGGTCTCCAGGAGTCTCGTGAGGATCTGGCCGTCCCCCCAGATCTGCCGTGTCGTCCGCAAACTGCGTGATGTGCGTTGCCCGTGTAGGTCCACAGGTTCGTCAGAGAAGCCAAGCACTTGGAACCCCCAGGCTTGGAACAGTGTGAAGTTGATGTCAGTTGATGTCCAAGACCGAACAACAGTTGCAGAGTGACCGGTGCCAAAGGCGGCAGCCGGCTGCTGGTGGCAGACGTGGCCCAGGTCCTCCGCGCCTGGAAGGCAGCGCAGTGCAGCTCCAGCTCCAGCTGTGGTCACGTGTTCTTTTCGTGTTCCCATCTAGCTTGAGAGACACGACGACATGACGAGACATGACGAGACACGACGACAAATGACGACAAATGACGAGTCGGGCACTTCGAAGGCCCGCCTGAAGCGCCCCGAGCGATCAGGCAGCGAGACGCCAGGCCGGTCCATTCCATTGTTGACTTTCGAAGAAGCGTGCAAGAAGAACTGCGGATCTGTGCTGAGCTCAAGCTTCAGTTCGCTTTAGGCAGGGCTGTTTCTGAAGCCCTTCAAGCCTTGCTACAGCGGAGGGCTCAGTCTTGTCAATGTTCTGCATCTCTTCGCGCCATGTCTCGTGCCGTGACTTGTGCATTTGCATGTATCGCACACGGTGCCGGGCATGGCCGTACACAGACACCATCAGACACCTGCCGTACTTAACCTGGGCAGCGGGTTTGCCGTGTTCCTGCTCCTCTGAGTGGTGCGATGCCGCGGAGGTCTGGCCAGTGCGGGCTAGTGCATTCTTGTCAAGTACAAAGTTTTTTTTTTTAAAGTGCTTTTGATATGACATTTTTTGCAAAGGCCGGTATTTGTCATGGTTTGATATGGTTCGATATTATTTCACATGGTTTCAGCCTTCATCCTCTGCACTGGACGTTGCAAGAAACTCAGAGAAGCACAGCGGCCTTCTCACTCCGTCCTCAGACTGCACTTCGCAGTTGTTTTCCTGGTGCACTGCGCCGTTCTTCAGCTCTTCGTGAACTTCAAACTGGCAGCTCTTCTCCTCCGGGCATGGGCTTGAAAGTCTTACTGCTCTGAGACTCTGGGGTCCGGAGGTTAGTCGAAACACCGAGGGCTTTCGCGCTTTGGGCCGAGACATCTCTCAGGGCCCTAGGCTGTTCATGACCTGGGGTTCGTGTCATCGGCCGTTTGTCAGCAACTGCCGCAAGTGGCCCCCAAGCGCGATGGGGTCACGTGCCCAGCGCTGCTTCACTTGCCAAGGCTCGCTAGGAAGGGTCAGGCTGCGCCCGTCGAAACAACTTTTGGGGTGAGCGTTCTTCCGCATTAACCGTTTCTCTTTCCCCCTCCATTGTTTGCCGTGGAGGCTCATCAGGAGGAGTCATGACAAACATTGACAGACATTGCATGTATGCTTGGAATGCGAGCTTGTTCAGCTTCAGCGGCTTTGATACAGGCCTGGGCATGAACGATTATTAAGTGCTCGACGCATCAACCGCCGAGGAGTCAAGCGCTTCATGTCGCCCTGACAGCTTTGACACGGTCCAGAGCCGGTGAATTCCCTGAGCACTGTGAAGCTGCACATGTAAAGATATGAGCCCCGTAACCGTCGCAGCGCAAGGTCGTGCCGTGCTGCGAGCAGCTGCAGAGGCCTCTGAGACCGAAGCAGGACAGGGACAGGGACATTCAGTTTCAACCACCCCTGAAGCCCCCTTGACTCCTTGACCAAATTGGGCAGGCAGGCCGATGCTTGAGGCAGAGGCTGGTCTTTGCCTCAAGGACTTTTTCAGTGCTGTCTGAGGGTGGGCATAAGAACCTCAGAGCGGTGCTATGCGCCGCTGCAAACGTGTATAATTTAAAATAAGCACTTCTGCACATTCGGTCTTCCACACACTCTTGAAGGAGATCTTGGCATGCACTTGCGCAGTTCCAGCTCCATTGGTGAAGTGCCCCGGCCCAATCTCAGCAGACACGATGTTGCTGGTGTGGAGTAGTGCAACGTGTTGTAAAAGCGCATCTAAAGCTGGTTTCACATATGTTGCGTCATTCTCGAATTTGGCGCGGCGTGAGTAGGCGGGCCTGGGCTTTGCAGCTTTGGGCCTGGGCTTTTCATGATCGTTTCCCTCTCGTCTATGCACGCAGCAAGGTTCCATGTCACAAGGCAGCAGGAGATGGAAAGAGCCAGAGTGTCGAGACGATTATGCTAAGCCCTCGTCGCCTCTCGATGCGAAGCGTGTCGTTTTCCATCACTTAATGGGTTACCACCAGCATCACTTCGGCGCCAAAAAGACCTTCTTGGACCCCCGTGTCCACAGGGAGCCCTTTGAAAACCTGCCTGCGGCAGCCCACTTGTACCCGGAATGCCATGGACCTCACAGTGTGGAAGTTGCTCTCCTCGGGCGCTTTCACATGCTTTCACCAGTTGACCCACGGTTTGATTGCGATTCGGTTTGTCTTGGCTTCGTGCGGGTTCCGGACCATGTGCGGGCAGGATCAGGTGGTAGAGCTCGAGCTTCGCCCCGTGTCCGTCTCCTTGTTGCTCCCGTGGGCCTTCTTCACGCAGCGCTTGTCTACTCGTCGTTCTTGCGGGCCCTGGGGACCCTCTTCTTGGTTTCTTGTGATTTGGTTTTGAGGGTCGCCCATTTACTGCTCAGCAGGAAAGCCTCAAGAAGGTGGAAAGAGGAGAAGGTTCTCCTTCGTGGTTTTGTGATGTGTTCCATGCCTCCGCTGCGTCTCGTCGAGGTAGTGCAGGGTCGGTCATTTCAAGCTTTAGAGCTTTATGGCTTCTGGTTGTGCATGATACATCATGGTATGACCATGAGCCGCACGAGAGTAAATGAGGCTGTTTTTTGGAAGGGTTACGGCTCGGGTGTTCGGGTGAGGGCATGAGAGGTGTCGGGTGCTTTCAGGGAAGCTTTAACGAGTGAAAGATGTGAAAGCCTAGACCAGATGGGCCAAAACCCAGAGTCTAAGAGCAAACAGCAGCTCATGATCGATGCAAGTCCGCTCTTGACCGACGCAAGTGACACTTACACAATGGCGCACGTGATCGGGAGGAGGAGGGAGGAGGAAGGTGGCAGAGAGGGGGATCGAGGGAGAGGGAAGCACCGAGATGGCAGACATGTGTCGGATTGGCAGGCATAAGGGTGCATGAACTATTCTGTGAAAGCTTGGCATGTGCACCGATGCAAGCTGCCCAAGCCGAGCACATATGTTGGAATCTGAACACTCATGCAAAATGCTTTGCAGAGAATGAGAGAATGAGAGAATGAGAGAATGAGAGAATGAGAGAATGAGAGAATGAGAGAATGAGAGAATGAGAGAATGAGAGAATGAGAGAATGACTGCACAAGATCAACCCTGGACACCTCCTTGCACACTTCTGCCTGGATTGATTCCGGGCCGAGTTGATCTTTTCGCAGAGCGTAGAGTCGGGTAGGAGGGCTGCGGTTGGGCTGCGGTAGGCTGGGTTGCCCAGGGTCCGAGAGCCTCGCATCTGACGGATCTCCAACCAAAAAGAGCATCAGACAGGGCAGCCTTGAGTTGCCGATCGCCCTTTCTGTCTCACTCTCAGACATCTTGAACTTGGTGTCGAAACAAACATCACGAACAAACACAAACAAACGCATACAAACACAAACGCCCGTCAGTATCACGTCTGTGGTCAAGTGGGGATGAGGTGGGTTAGGATGTGATGGGCCAACACTACTCCTCCTTCTCTGCGCCTTTTCCTTGCGCCCTTCCCCCCAAAGTCCACCCCAGTTCCGGCCTTTCCTCTTGGATGTCCTAGCTGTCGGCACCAGCATCGCAGAGCCCCATGTCTTGGTGAGCCTACGCAAGAGGTATTTGAGCATGTTGCTTTCTACTACGCTATCCTGCAACAGTTGGGGAGGGGAGTGTCAGCTCGGGGGAGACTGCTTCTGAGAGCCCGCGAGTCCAGCAAGAAATAGCGAGTAGAAATAGTGAGAGAATTTTCTGAACCGGTCATCTGGTCTTCCCTGGAGGCAGTTGCTTACCTTGCTCTCAGATGCAGCGGATGAGAAGGCTCAGGCCAGGCTGCATTCGCCGCCCAGCACGCAACCTGCGTTATTGGACATTGCGTGGTGCAGTGGGGCTGTTGTGTTATCGTCAGGCCAAGAGGCCTGGTGCTGAAGCCGTTCTAGACTCTGCAACACAGGCCACGTGTATTCTGCTCTAGCTTTCCATTTGTTTCCATTTCGACCTTCGAATTCAGAGCGTCGAGCCCTTGAATCGTTGGAGAATGGCGAGGACTTGCAGTGGATCCTGGCACTTCTGTCGGCTTCTTTGCTCGATGCGGAGGAGGTACGGGGCGTCCCTACAAAGTCTTGAGAGAAGCGGCTCCTCTATCCTGTCATGATATTGTAGACTGACCCTTCCCATAAAAAGTATAAATATGTTCGCACCCCATGAAAGATGCCATGAACACATCGAAGAACAAGCTGCGAGCACAAGATGAAACCACATGCAATGCCTACGCTTAACTTCCCGACGGTTCCTCCAGCAGAAGCAGGGGCGAAGCAAGGGGTGATATGCTCCATTGATACCCCGAATGGCGTTCAGAGGGTGCCGGAGTGAGCGGCTCTTGGTCGGACGGGTCGAGCACGAGAAGATTCTGTCCAGCTCCCCGGAAGATACTGTAGGAATGGGAACATCTGGGAACGTATTCGGGAACATCATACAACAGCAGATCGGAGAAACGTGGAGCTCAGGCAGAAGCGCACGCTGAGTGCTGATAGACTCACCGAGGAAAACAATGCCATCTTTAGGGACCAAGGGATACAGTCTTCTGGAGCTCGCACAAGATCCAACTGCCTCGACGACTGCGAGAATGAGGAAGACACAGAGAATGCAGATGTTGAGGTTGGGCCAAAAAAGCCTAAAAAGCCTAAGACTCTAAGCTCGACGACGGCCAGGGCAGGGAGGACACGCAGAAGGTAGCAGATAATGAGATGGAGCCACTTGAGCCGACGCAGAAAGACAACGACACTGCCTAGTTTCTTTGAGTATGATGTTATGTCAAGTTGCTCCAGGCGTCAACGTGGTCAACAAAACCTTCAGCGAGACAACAGGAAAACAACAACGTTTGTAATGCTGTGGGATGCTCCAGGTTAAGGCTGTGTCAGGTTGGAAGCAGCCTCTAGATCGTCAGGCGTCTAGGAGCAGCCTGCATTCTGGGAAGGTCGCCCCAGATGATGTGGGTGAGTTGCGTCGCTCGCTCGACACGGTGGCTGCCTCCGGGTCAGCTGCTGTGGAGCTGCCTCCGGTGGGGACTCAGGCAACAGAAGTCGGGGGGTGGGGGGCGG